TGTTTGTGAGAGGCATCAAGTTTAGAAGTGTTTTGCGTGCTCAACAATTTGCTGCTGTCTAAAAACATGGATCAAAGAGTTTGCATTAAATTTTGTGTGAAAAATGGAATCAAATGTTCCAAAACACTTGAAATGCTGAAAGTGGCATACAATGAGTCTACTTTAAGCCAAAAAAATGTTTACAAGTGGTATAAACTCTTCCAAGAAGGCCGAGAAGACACCGACTACGAACCTCGTTCTGGACGCCCCAGCACATCAACAACTGATGAGAATGTTGAAGAAGTGAAGAAAATAGTGTTGGGAAATCGTCGAATAACCATTAGAGAAATTGCTGATGATATTGGCATCTCATTTGGTTCGTGCCAATCAATTTTGACGAGTGTTTTAGACATGAGACGAGTGTCAGCGAAGTTTGTTCCGAAATTGCTTAATTTCGACCAAAAGAAACGTCGCATGAGCATCGCCCAAGAGCTACTGAATGACGTCAACGATGATCCAGATTTACTCAACAGGGTTATAACAGGTGACGAAACATGGGTATACGGTTATGACGTCGAGACTAAGACTCAATCGTCCCAGTGGAGGCATTCTGGATCACCAAGACCAAAAAAAGCACGCCAAGTTCGATCAAATGTAAAGGTTTTGCTTACAGTTTTCTTTGACTGCAGGGGCGTGGTGCATCATGAGTTCTTGCCACAGGGTAGAACAGTAAATAAGGAATATTACCTGCAAGTTATGCGCAATTTGCGCGAAGCAATCCGTCAGAAACGTCCGAATTTGTGGAAAAATAAAAATTGGCTTTTGCACCATGATAACGCCCCTGCTCACACATCGTTGCTTGTTCGCTAATTTTTGGCTAAAACCAACACAGTAATGATGCCACAGGCACCGTATTCCCCAGATCTGGCGCCCTGTGACTTCTTCTTGTTCCCAAAACTGAAGAGGCCCATGAAAGGACGGCGTTTTGCCACGATTGAGGAGATAAAGACGGCATCGAAGGATGAACTAAACAAGATCACAAAAAATGATTTTTTGAAATGCTTTGAGGATTGGAAAAAGCGTTGGCACAAGTGCATTATATCCGAGGGGGATTACTTTGAAGGATATAAAATAAAAATTGATGAATAAATAAATATTTTTTGAGAAAAATAAAAATTCACCTTACTTTTTGATCACACCGCGTATATATTGCAACGGTAGTCGATTCGATCAACCGATACGTTCGCGATTCGGTATCACTCGCGATGCTAGAGCGAACGTCTGAGAGAGAAAAAAAAAAAGAGAGAGAAGGGGCGCGCGAGGGTTCAAAGTTTGAGTTAAGCCTTAGCTGTAGTAAATAGAACCGTCAAAAGTTTTGCACTGTGTTTTGTCGAATTTCAATCAAAAGTTTCTTTGATTTGGATAAGTGCGCGAGTGATAGCGAGTAAGCTGAGTAAAAGAAGCAGCATCACAGCAAAACAGCATTAGTCACTGATCTTCGTGACCGAGGCAGCGCAGCTGGTTCCAGAGGAGCACCAACATTCGATTTGCTTCAACAATTACGGTTGATCACCGTAATTGCACTGTAGGGTAGGTATACCTCCCTTTTTCTGCATGACAAATACTTACGGTAGTACTTTGTCAATCGTAACTGGTTTTGTGTTCGCGCCGAGCGTTAGTTTTGGCAGTCGAATTTCGGATTCTCTCTCTCTCTCTCTCTCTCTCTCTCTCTCTCTTCGTATTATTGTTATACATTGTAAATCCTATTCGCGTGCTTAAGTCTTTCGGTCCATCAAAGACTGTAGTTTATTAGAGATAAATGATATTAATTTTATTCGGCGCATTTCGTTATTTCGTTCCCTTTTAGTTTAACGGATCTGTCACCGGTTAAATTTTCAACCGATTTCATCTAGGGGATTAGTTTGAGTAAACATAAGGTCACTCACACCTAAGATAGATCGAGTGTCACAAGTCAGGTGATTTAAGGTGAGTTCAACTGTGTTGGAAAAAAGACATCGGAACAAAAGTATCAAACGTAAAGGCGAATACACGTATACTTATGCGTGTTTAACGAAGCGGCGATTAGCTCTGCATCGTGGGAGTTTGTTCTTTAATAAACCCATTATGTACCAGCTAATCCACCCCGTTACAATATATATATATATATATATATATATATACATACATACAGTTGACATGGACGAAACTTTAGTCTTTCAGCCTGGAAATGTCTTGTGAAGAGAATCCTGTCATTTCTGCCTACTAGCGAAATCGTCAAAATATAAAACTTTAAACATCGATAACTCAGCAAAAAAAAAAAGATTTTTCAAATTTGAAAGAATGGTTTTGAAGGGTTAGAATTCTTCTTTGAGGTACCGTCGGCCGTTTAAAAAAAAACTTTCAGTAGAGATTTTACATAACCTCAAAGTTAGCCAAAAACAGTGTTTTCCTACTATCGTGCGCAAAGTTCGATTTTGCGCCCGCACATACGTTCGCAAAGGGCCTCATTCCCGCACGTTGGCTTAGCGTGCGGGAATGACAGCTGCGCATGCGCGGCGCACGTTCGACGCAAACACGCCTGTCTCATCTGTCACAACACTGTGTTGTTTACGTTGCGTTGCAGGAATAGACTTGTCAAAACTTGCGCGTTCAATTGTGTAAAATCGTGTTTTACATACAGTCGCTTAACATTTATTTTGTGAAATAGCTATTTTGTGAGTGAAAAGGGACTAAAATGGATTCCGGACACAGTGATTCAGACTATGACAGTGATTTTGTGCCGCCTGAATTGATTGCAGCAGCCAAAGAAATCAATTTGAAGTCATTGCCAGATGCTTCAAAACAGAAATATACAGCAGTGTATAATGAATTTAAGAAATGGAGAAGCACGAAAAATACAAGATCATTTGCTGAATCTGTATTATTAGTGTACTTTAATGAACTATCGATGAAATATGTTGCATCTACGCTGTGGTCTAAATATTCAATGTTAAAGACCACAATAAAGACTTTCAACAACGTAGATATTAGCGCGTACGCACAACTAATTGGTTTTCGAAAAAAACAAATGCCGGGTATATTCCCAAAAAATCACGTGTTTTTACGACATCGGACGTATCAAAATTTCTTAATGAAGCACCTGATGAATTATATCTAGTTATGAAGGTATGTATACGTAATTAAATATTTTATCAATGATAGTTGTTAATGTAAAAAATGTAATTGATTTAAATATAAATTATTTTATAGGCAGTACTCGTTACAGGAATTTCTGGTGCTTGTCGAAGGGATGAAGTGACAAATGTGTGTATAACAGACGTGGAAGATCATGATTCGTTTTTCTATGTAACATTGCCGAAAACGAAAACAAAAATTGTAAGGTCGTTTACAGTAGTAAGTGAATTTTATCAAATTCTCAAGAAATATCATCGTGAAAGAAAAGCTATAGGTATTTCGAAGACAAATAGATTTTTCCTAACTTACAGAAATAGAAAATGTGTTGAGGAGCCTCTAGGTATCAATACAATTGGAAATATACCATGTGAGATTGCCAAATACCTGCAATTAGAAAATCCGGAACTGTATACAGGTCATACATTTCGACGATCCTCAGCCACAATACTAGTCGACGCTGGAGCAGATATAACTGTTTTGAAGAGACATGGCGGATGGAAATCTAATAGTGTCGCCGAGGGATATATAGAAAATTCGATTTCAAACAAAAATGCAATCGCAGATCGTATTACAAATGCAGTACCTTCTACGTCAGCTTATTTAAAACGTACATCTAATGCACCTGTGCCTTCGACGTCATCAATTTCTAAGCGTGGAAAATTTTAAGAAATAAGAGAAGAGACCAGTTACACCTTCGATAATACGCAGTATGCAAATCCATCGAAAAATGCTCCTGTTTTGACTGACGACTGTGCTCCGATAGTGATTACAGAAACTCCCGAGGAATTCCTTGAGAACAACCCAAATGTGCTGAATGTGAATTAAAGCGATGTGCCTCAAGATACAAGTCCTGAAATGACTTTTGGAAACGGAAGAAATATAATCAATGAAGACGAGCCCATTAAAATATCAAATAGAAATGTAAATATTAACGAATTAGATATACTAAGAAATATACCTTTTCAATTTAATAATTGTAATGTAACAATCAACATAAATATCAATAAAAAATAATATGGTATCATCAAAAATTTTTTTTCTGTTGATTTTTCTTTCAATATTTTTTGGATAGGGGGGGCAAAGCCCCCCCGAACCCCCCCTTTCCTCCCTCCCAAACCTTTACTTTTAATTGACGTTGTCGAACTTTGCGCAGCTTAGTAGGAAAAATAGTATTAATATACATAACTCGCTTCGCTCGGGTGGCAAACTCGCGCGTGCGGGAATCACCTACTTTGCGCACTCGTTGCATGATGTACTATTTTTGCACTTTTAGGTTGATATCTCGGGAACCTGACGTGATGGACGAATTCTGCCTTCAAATTTGAATTTAGCGACTCAAAAACCTTCGGGAGCACCTAGTCATGGTTCTAGGTCAGTTCAAATTTCAAATTTTGTTGCACTGTGTTATTTTTGTTGTCTATTAATCATACAACTTTTATTTCAAACATTTTTCGAATAATTTGCAAAATTTTGAGCTATTCTACTGTCCAAGTTAAAGTGGGACACTGTATACGTATATGATAGTCTTAAGAAAAACACTTAATACATACTATTACACTACTTATTTCTTATTACTTACACTAATTATTACTTGAATTTTTTTTATTGGAAAAGATTACTTTTTGTAATTCGTTGTCTATGAATTATTACAAATAATTTAGAATTATTATAAATAATTTAGAAAATAATGATTTAAATACTTATAACTTTTGTACACACAGATTTGTACTTGATTAATGTGTAATTATAGTAACATGATGCAAATGAAATTCTACAATATTATAATTATGCCTATATTGTTATCTGTGCAGATAAGTATAGCATAAATCATTTTCTTATTTTTCCAGGATGCGATCCAGTCTGCCGAATACCAAAGCCTCTCAAGTAATTGTAATAACACGGGAGTAAATAGCATCAGTCGTTGAAATATGAAATTCAATACTCCAGGATGACATTTGAATTGTACAGAATTACACAAAAACATTCAGCTAGTCTGATAATATTTATCTGTTACGTAATGCTGAATTCTATTATCTTAAATTTTAAATCAATTGTAAATAATAGGTACATTGTAATTGTAAATTTTATATGAAATAAATATGCCTAAAACATGGTTACTATCGAATACTAACGAAGATGAATATTAATATTTATATTTTGAATTACTAATTTCTTGAAGTATTATATGATTCAATGGAGCAGAATAAAACAGACTTTATTCGTCACAAGTAAAGTACAGTTACTTTTATTATAAATAAGCTCTGCACTTCCTCACAAAGGTACACTAATTTCTTTCATAAAAGATGACAAGAAACAATTAGCAATAGAAAAACTTATTTACAATCTCTAAATAAACTCGTATATGGCATGTTGTGTTTGAAAAAATTTTAATCAAATAAAAAACACTTATGCATTTTATTCCTGAATATGATTGTAGGACTCTTCATAAAAGTATTCCAAGTGAAATCAAAATCTATAACTCAGCCGTTTTTTTTTCTAATTTAAAGTTTATTGTCGACATTTTATAGAATTTATCCGAATTATGACATTTCAATGTCCGAGTAACAAGTGGTTATGATTCTATAAATAAATAATATAATTAATTATAAACTCAAGATAATTTATTTATACATATATATACAGAATATTTATTTATATATATACAGTATACGAGGTGTGATCAAAAAGTAAGGTGAATTTTTATTTTTCTCAAAAAATATTTATTTATTCATCAATTTTTATTTTATCTCCTTCAAAGTAATCCCCCTCGGATATAATGCACTTGTGCCAACGCTTTTTCCAATCCTCAAAGCATTTCAAAAAATCATTTTTTGTGATCTTGTTTAGTTCATCCTTCGATGCCGTCTTTATCTCCTCAATCGTGGCAAAACGCCGTCCTTTCATGGGCCTCTTCAGTTTTGGGAACAAGAAGAAGTCACAGGGGGCCAGATCTGGGGAATACGGTGCCTGTGGCATCATTACTGTGTTGGTTTTAGCCAAAAATTAGCGAACAAGCAACGATGTGTGAGCAGGGGCGTTATCATGGTGCAAAAGCCAATTTTTATTTTTCCACAAATTCGGACGTTTCTGACGGATTGCTTCGCGCAAATTGCGCATAACTTGCAGGTAATATTCCTTATTTACTGTTCTACCCTGTGGCAAGAACTCATGATGCACCACGCCCCTGCAGTCAAAGAAAACTGTAAGCAAAACCTTTACATTTGATCGAACTTGGCGTGCTTTTTTTGGTCTTGGTGATCCAGAATGCCTCCACTGGGACGATTGAGTCTTAGTCTCGACGTCATAACCGTATACCCATGTTTCGTCACCTGTTATAACCCTGTTGAGTAAATCTGGATCATCGTTGACGTCATTCAGTAGCTCTTGGGCGATGCTCATGCGACGTTTCTTTTGGTCGAAATTAAGCAATTTCGGAACAAACTTCGCTGACACACGTCTCATGTCTAAAACACTCGTCAAAATTGATTGGCACGAACCAAATGAGATGCCAATATCATCAGCAATTTCTCTAATGGTTATTCGACGATTTCCCAACACTATTTTCTTCACTTCTTCAACATTCTCATCAGTTGTTGATGTGCTGGGGCGTCCAGAACGAGGTTCGTAGTCGGTGTCTTCTCGGCCTTCTTGGAAGAGTTTATACCACTTGTAAACATTTTTTTGGCTTAAAGTAGACTCACTGTATGCCACTTTCAGCATTTCAAGTGTTTTGGAACATTTGATTCCATTTTTCACACAAAATTTAATGCAAACTCTTTGATCCATGTTTTTAGACATGAGCAAATTGTGGAGCACGCAAAACACTTCTAAACTTGATGCCTCTCACAAACAAACCAAACATACTACAAAGCTGAAATTTGGAACGTATGTTCTAGACGAGTGTACCGACATAACCAAATAAAAATGTCGAAGATCGAACGGACGTAGCCCGCTAAATTTCAAAATTCACCTTACTATTTGATCACACCTCGTATATATATATATATATATATATATATATATATATATATATATATATATTGTAAAAATTCATATTCATATACTGTAAAATTCATTACAATTGTAGTCACATATAGTTTTTAGTAAATGATACGGACGTAGCCCGCTAAATTTCAAAATTCACCTTACTATTTGATCACACCTCGTATATATATATATATATATATATTGTAAAAATTCATATTCATATACTGTAAAATTCATTACAATTGTAGTCACATATAGTTTTTAGTAAATGATTTGCAAACTCAGCGTATGTGCTAGCTACTTTACTTTTCATTCCAGTTTTTTTTAGATCACAATACACAGATGCCTTTGATTGTTCACTAAAAATCCAAGCCCTTTGATATTTTTTAAACACAAATACGATATGTGTCTTGGCTCGTTCAGACTTCACAGCTCCATTCTTAGTTATATGTGACGCTAGCGATTCAGGATTAGGCAGTGTCCTCTTACAGCATGTTAGAGAAGACGACAGAGTACTCTGTTACGCCATTCTAGCACTCAGTTTCACCAAACGGAACCATCCAGTGATTGAAAGAGTGTCTCGCTGTGATATAGGTCTCATATAAAGGACTATCATTTTAAAGTGATTACTGATCACCACAGCTTGAAATGGCTACGCAATCTCAAGTACTCAAACAGTAAGCTTAGACGTCGGTCACCGATTTTACAATCGTACAGCTTTCGTACAGTACATCGCAAAGAGAAATTCAGTGTAGCCCCAGACGCTTTATCACGGATATACGAAGATGACGAGATCAGCAACTTAGCATCGCTTCAAGCGTCTCCTCCAGTTAAGGACCCTTGGTACTTGAGATGGGTCAAAAAGGTTCGAGAATACCCTACTGAGCATCCCTATTGGAAGTATATATGTCTACAAGACAGACCCTCACGTCGACGATCTTATGAGCGTGGACGAAGACGTAGTACTCCGTAGAGAACGCAGAGCTCAAGTTCTAGTTGAATGTCATGACAGTCTGGCTGCTGCACACTTAGGGTGTTATAAAACGCTAAAGCGAGCCTCGTTAAAGTATTATTGAACTGAGATTTATAGAGACGTATCCTACAGGGTCTGGTTAAGGGAGGTACTAGAAATGAAAGGAGAGATAGTGAATCTGAGAAGAATAGGAGGAACAGCGGAGAGAGATGATCGGAGAGAAAGAAAAAAAAACATGTGGCAAATTAGATGCGCGTCATGGAAACAAAAAGAAGGAATTATGAAGAAGAAAAAGAATCTGGCATAGAAAAAGATATACATAGATCAGGACTGGACGTGGAAGCAGAGAAGAATAAGAGAGGAAGTAAGAAGGAAAGCGAAAGAAATAAGAAGTAAAGGTAAAGAGGTAAAGATGTGGCATAACGGGGTGAAATCAGAGGAAGAAGAGGAATGGTGGTGGAGAGAGAGAGAGGGAAAAATAGTAGGAAAGGGGGTGGAAGGATTTCGAAAACAATAGGGATAAAAGGGAGAGAGAAAAGAGACGGGAGAGAGAGGGGAGAAAGGCAGTAAAAATACTATTCTGGAACGTGGCGGGGGTGAAAAGCATGAAGGAAGACGACTGAGAATATGTTAGGGAATTCGACATAATAGGGCTAACGGAAACCTGGGTGAAGAGGCAAGGGGCAAGAACTGGTGTGGAGAAATAACTGAAAGGGTACAGCATAGAGTGGAGGGACTCAAGAATGGAAGGAAGAAGGGGAGAGAAATAGGGGGAGGAATAATGGCGGTAAAAGAGAGGAAAGGGATGAATAAGGTTGAATGGAAGAAAGAAAGGACAAGTGAGGTAATAGTAGGAGAAATAAAGATCGGAGGAAGGGAATACATGATAGCATCAGTGTATATGCAACATGCGAAGAAGGAAAACTATGAATACCTAAGTGAAGAGATAGAGGAGAACAGAGGAAAAACAATAATTATAGGAGGAGACTTCAACGCAAGAACAAGAAACGAAGGAAGGGAATGGGAGACAGAAGAAAACCTAGAAGAAATTAAGGCCAAGGATAAAGTGTTAAACTCAGAGGGAGAAGAAATGATAAAATGGCTAGGAGAAATGGGCTTAGTGATAACGAATGGGAGAAAAGAAGGAGATGAAGAGGGAGAAATAACATATATAGGAGCGAGAGGAATGTCAACGATAGACTATGTAGTAGGTAACGAGGAAGGTGATGAGGCGATAAAAAAGGTTCAAATAAAGGAGAGGGTAAAGTCGGACCACTTACCAATAGAGGTGGAATTGGGAAACAAAATAGCGGAAGAAAGAAAAGAAGAGGAAGAAAAAATGATAGGCGACTGGAGTGAAGAAGGTATAAGGGAGTATCAGAGATGGATAGACGCAATAGAGGGAACAGATAAATGGAAAGATATAAAAAATAGAGTGAAGAACGCAGTTGTAAAAAAGAAGATAAGGAAAAAAAAAGGATCAAAAAAAAGCTGGTGGAAAAAAGAATGTAAGGCAAAAAGGGATAGGGTGATGGCAGAGTTAAATAAGGTAAGAAAAGGGGAAGGAGACAGAGGCAAATACTTAGAAGCAAAGAGAGAATACAGAGAGGAAATAAGAAAAGCAAAAGAAGATGAAGGGAAAAGAGTGGCAGAAGAAATAAGAACAGATAAGACGAGAAGAAAATTCTGGGATAAAGTGAATGGCAATAGGAAGAAAAGAATTGGATTAGATGAAAATATAGGAAAAGAAGAATGGATAAAGCACTTCAAGGAACAATTGGGAGAGAAAGAACAGGAAGAGAAGTAAGACTCGCAGACACATCTACACAGACATACATACAAAACACCAACATACGCGCAAACATAAACATACACATGCGCACACACACACACAAGACACAAGTAACAGCAGAGGAAGCAGGTATTGGAGGATGGAGCAAAATGGAAAAGAAGAAGAATCGAAGAAGAGAAAGAAAAAGGTAAACTAGAAGGCAAATCATAAGATACTAAGGAAAAATAAGTGAGGTTGAGGAAAGGAAAGGCAGAGGGAGCAATAGGAAACAAGAAAAAGGTGTCAAAGCCTTAATAAGGAGAAAGATAGATGAAATGATTAGCAAGAAGGAGAGCAAAAGAAAAGGAAAGGCAAAAGAAAGTAATAAAGGAAAAGCTGAAAAGAAAATATGCAAGAAAGAGAAAAAAAAAACAGAAGAGCGGAAAAGGCAAATCTTGGAGAGAGAAAGAGGAAGAGAAGATTA